CTGGGGAGGGGGTCTCGGGGGGCGCTTTTTCCGAAGAGGGGGATCTGCAGAACAAACGGCCCCAGGATCAATGGGGGGGGGGATGAGTTACAATCAGAACTGGAAGTTCATGGGAACTTCCTATCCCTTCATCTTTTTCTCGGTTAATTTGTTACTCTGGTGCTGCGGTAGCTTTAAGGAGAAAAGCTTTTCTCATTTCCCTTGATTTTACTCACGGCCGTCTTGGGCTTTAGAAAAGGACACGTCTGCTTCCCTCTTTTCTACCTTCTTGTTCTTCCACCCTTGAATTTCCCTCCCTGCTTTTCCACGGCTATTCCAGTGCATCTTCAGCCTCACTGGATCTTTCCCCCGCCAGCACACAGACCAAATCTCTCAGATGGAGCCGAACTAGGATCTGCAGCACACGATGTGTGAAAATCTTCCAGTTCACACTCCTCGAGACTTTTCTGACGTGCCTCTATTTTAATCAGGTCTGTGAACCCTTGAATCTAGGCCTGTTCTCAATCACTTTTAGTAGCTCAACCTTTCACTGGCTGAATCTCATCAGGATATTCCCTCTGTCACTGTTTCTATGATTTCTTCTCCTTGGTTTGCACGGTTTATAACGTACAAGAAAATCATTTAATGCACAAGAAACGTAGAGGAACCTGTAGGGATATGCAAGAGAAAGAGATCCCTGGGCTACACTTCTTCCAATGGCAGAATTTAAAATAAAACATCATTGCCTTTTGCCCTGTCTGCAAGTGCTGCAAATTGCCTTGACATGACCAATCATAATCCAGGGGTGGAAAACATCTGGCCTTCCCCATATGGCTAAGCTACTACAATTCCCAGCCATCTCAGATAGCAGAATCAGTGGCAAGGCATGCTGGGAGTTGTAGTTCAGGGCACAAGGTCCTCAATCTTGCAGGACTGTAATCAAATGGCAGCCGAGTGCATTCCTGGTTCTACCCACCAACCATATTAGGAGACCCCGTTTGTCAGATACATTTAAAGGGGAATGGCTAAATGGAGAACGGAGGTCTTGGGCCCCACACCTTGATTTTAATAGTTCACTGGAGTCCACTGGAGTTGGGTGGTCAATAAATTTAAATAAACAAATTATTATTATTATTATTATTATTATTATTATTACTATTATTTCTATAGGAAATGTATGTGTTGCTCACTTCCTGAGCTTATAAGTTATACTAAAAAGTTCATTAAAAAGGGAAAAAAACTCCTTTGAGTCCAGCTTGACCCTTGGTGGCTACATGGACATGCTTGTGTAAGTTTCTTCGCAACGGCAAGGAAGTGTTTTGCCATCCTCTTCCAGGATGTTTTTCCTTCCCAATCTACTTTACCACCCTGGGACTTCCTAGTGGTCTCCCATCCATGTACTAATCAGGCCCACACCTGTTTAGCTTTTCGAGATTAGCAGGGTAGGCTGCAAAGTTGGGCGTATCCATCTAAAACAAGGAGAAGAAAGCAACTGGTCAACATCTGCTGATTTTGAGAGGGAGAGATGTATTTGGATACCTTGATTGGAGAA